TCATAGGAAAACATTAACACAATAAATACGAACAAACAAGGTATGAATAATGATTAACAGAGTTTGTAACCCTCTCTATTTGAAAAACCAAAAGGCTTGTTTGTCAAGATCGTGAGCTTCCAATGGTCTGAAACAATACTGTATGTTGGTTGGAATAGGCCTGATTAATTGCCTCTTGAGTTTAGGTGCATTAGGAAGCTTATCTTTTAGGAAAGCTACTTTTCTCCATGATGAAATTATACAATGCAAAATGTGCTTCTTGAATCAGAAAAGCAATTCCAGTTGGAAGCTCTTATTTCAACATGTATAGCAGCGTCATTTGTGACTGGTGTACTTCACCATTTTCTTTCCATTCTCTGGGAGCAGTGGGCCACCAAAAGATACAAATACACGTATTAAAAGGATATTTTTCCGCCAGTTCTGCCACCTTCCCCACCAGGTCAATGGTGGTGTAGTCATCTTTGTTGATGCGCAGAAACTCCAGCATCTTATCCACGATGACTGTGACATTCTGGGCATTGGTGATCCGAAAGAGTAACTCCAGAGTCTACAAGAGAACAGAACGAGAACTATAATGCTGCAAGCCCACCATACTAAGACACCTAAATCTAGACTCCAGCAGTATCTGCCTCACCTCACGCTTGATGATGAGGTCGGGGTGATCGAGACACTCGATGATGGTCATCTGATGCTGCAGGGCCAGTTTGGGATCCTGCTGGACCACGTAGGTGAGGGCCTTCAAGCCTACAGAAGCAATTCATAAAGCAGTTACTACAGTGTACATCTGAGATCCTGATTGTTGGAGAAAAACATCATTTTAATCTTACCGAGATATTTGAGGTTAATCTTCGATGACAGAACAAAGTTGCCAATGCACTTTGCAGCTTTTTCCAAAAGTTCCGATTTGGGATGAATTGTGTAAATACATTTTACACACTCAAATAATATTGCTGTAAATATAAACAGATTTCAACAAGTCATTACTGAAATTATTTCACACAACCAAATGTATCAAAGCAGCATTTTAAATGTCACATACCATAGGTGATGTTATGATTAATCTCTGCTCTTCGTAAGGACTCGTCGAGGACTTCATACATGATCTCACTTGTACTGTCAAAAATAATGACGGACTCAAAACATGTACTTGCAAGCATTTGAGCACAAAAACATCAAAGCGTTACCCGCAGATTCCTGGGGAGAAAATAATGAATATTTACCTCTGGTCATTCTTCCCAAGTAAGCACAGTATTCTGAGGAGCTGAATTTGCAGCCATGGAGCAGGAACACTGTGATAGTTGAAATCCATGGGCAGTTTTCCTCCCACCACTTGCTTCAGTATGGTGACAAAACTTGTCGTCAGGTCCTTATAACCTTCTGGATTCTCCTGTAAGAAAAATAAAAAACCAGTGATGAAACTGGATCAGTAAATCAAAACAGAAAGTCCAGAGTCTAGAAAAATGTATTACCTCGATCAGCTGTAAGTAGATGTGTAGTGAAGCCGTCATGACGCCGGGGTCCTTGTCACACAGAGCTTTGCGAAACTTGTTGTGGATGTGTTGAACTTGATTCGGTGCTATTAGGTAGAATTTATACAGTGCCAGGACTGCTTTTCTTCGAATGATTTCCCTTCAAAAAGGTTAGAAGAAACCCTTACTATCAAAAGATTTAGGCAGATTTTTCACGTTGTAGTTGAACACATATTGGTATATAGATAGCATTTCTTACTTTGGGTGGTTTAGTTTCTCCTCCACCAGAGGAAGGATTGCAGGAATCATATCTTTGGGAAACATCTGGCTGACAACAGTTAGAGCCATGCACACCTCAATGAGGTTTGTGCTCTGAAGATCCTGGAAACACAACATACATCAACACCTAGTGGCAACACAGCAGATCACAAAATGCTGTAATACCAAACACCTACCTTTAATACAGTGTTCACAAGAAGAAGAAGCAGCTCATGACTTTCATTCAGGAACAAAGACACAGCGAGATAACCTACAAGTCAGACGCATGGAATTATTCTTCTGCCTAAAGCACTATAGGAAGAAGCAATGGACTATGGTCAAAAAAAGGTTTAAAAGTGATACTTATTTAACTTAAAAAAGATGCTATTCATGAGATGTAGTCAGTATTGCAAAAACACGAATGAGTGATAATGTCAAAAGAACATACCGACTCTTTTCTCCAGAGCGGTGCCTTGTTGAGCCAGTTTGATGGCATGAATATAGCTGAATGAAGCCTCATAGCCGAGCATTTCACAGTAGATCGCTCTCACCATGAGCTCCTTCATCTGCCTCTGAATCAGATTATGACACAAGGAAGAAGTGAACAAAAACATCTATCATTTTAGACATCAATGGACCTATTTCAATTATTTGTGACCAAATCAAATTGGAAAAAGAGGAGATTTGTACCATGGATGTGTTGGGGGAGGAAACCTGTTCTTTGATGGATGTTAGCTCACGTTGAATCAGTTTTTCCTCCTCCTGTAAAAGGAGTAACACAATTATTATCACATACAGAGAAAATGCTTGTTTATGTTGATAAGACCATCAAAATGACATACTTCAGCTGATGAACTACATATCAGAATCTCAAAAGTATTAAACAACTTTTGTGGTGACGTTATTAAGTGAGATATTATTTGGTGATGTTATCTCTGACATAGTCTGATCTGTATTTAAAAAATATTTTAAAATAAAGTTGTTATTAAATCAACCAAAACAAATACAAAAAACGTTTTCTTGGCCTAGTATGTTATGCTGGTGTACAATGAAAGACAAGTTCTAGTGACTTAAGCGATAGACAATGCTTCAAAGTGAACATTAGTTATTATGTCTAGTTAATAACATTGACTGTGTAACTCATTCCTGATTGGTGCGTTCAGGTGTGTGTGGGAAACTACAAAACCAAGGACTTTAGAATAAGAACAGCAGCAACACTTTTTAATAACGTTCATATTTTCCTTCAGGATTCACCTTTCTGCAACCCAGTGTGTGAATGCAAAGCATAGTTGCAGCTGACTCTTAACACACTTAAAATATCTGGGTTTATAACAAGCACGTGAACGTACCAGCAATAACAAGTTTTAAAAATAGTCCCAGCTCTGATTTCACCTGTGGTAGCACGTGATAATAACAACAACAGAAAGGTTGTCTATAAATCACTCCAACACGTAAGGAATATAATAGAAACAGGATATAAAAGCCATTCAGTAAGTAGATTAAAACACAAATGCCTCTTTTTTTAGTTAGCCCTAAGCTAACGTTAGAGCACATGATCAACAACACACATCTAATTTCTCCTAAGCTCCAGTTTTTGGGGAAAGACTCACATGTTTGGAGGTCAGCTCGGTGACCCCTCTGATGAGGTTTCCTAGCTTCGAGCTGGAGGACAGTTTATTGGATCCAGGCTGGGAGTCTAGAGACAGCAGACCCGGCAGAGCTGTCAGGGTTTTCTCCACAACATCGCTCATTTTGTCACCGAGAACAGGGTCCTGGAAGCAGTTTTGTTTCTTTCTTAATACACTTATTTAATCATCTATCCATCTCAGTAAGAGTTTCGTAAACAGAGTCAGGGAAAATCTATTGTTAAACAGTTAAAAATATCATAAGAGGTAAAATGCTAGCTTGCAAGTCGGCCATTGTTTTGAATCAGCAGACTGGCCAAGGCTGGTTGGCGATGTCACTTCCGTTTGTGTTTAGGGAACTTTATGTAAACCTTCAAGGGAGACACAACAGGGAATTGGTCAACTCTTTAACTAATAGATATTAACATGACGTTTCCCGTTCGATTACTTACATTACATAAGTTACCTTACCCATTAAATTGTTTGTTTAAATGTGCAAATGATGAATGCTAATTTGCATGGATTTCCAGAAAAGAGATCTGAACAGGAGGGATTTTTTGGATATCTCTTTTTATTACTTCGTAAATAATCCTGTCACCAGCAATAACCTTTAAAAAAGCATAGACTCAAATTAAAAAAAGACACCTTAATGTGTATTTTTGTTCTTATTGTCTGAAAGATGACATTTTATGGAAGCAAAATAGAACAACAACTCTAAATTAACCAGTGCATTAAACAGAAACAGTGGCTGAAAAGTTAAAATAGATCAGTAGAATAAACTAAAAGAATACAATAAGGTAGAGAACAATAAATACAAAGGGATAATATTCAAAACTCAGTTTATTATGTTTTGTAATACTTTAATAAACAGTCCCTTTATTAACTGTACACTTAACTACAATAAAATAATTACATTAAATATGAAATTACAGCCATTGGACAACTGCATGAGAACATTCTATGAATTTAAACATGTTTTTATATATTAGTATTTAAATATCTAGAGGGCGACCAAAGGTTCAGGGTGTTTGCACTAAATGTGCACATAGAGCAGGAAATAACAGAAGGATGAGAGGTAAACCTTTTAAAATCATAAGGAAGGGAAATCATCAGCATGTATTTTAGGTTACCTGTAAACATGTGCTTTGTTTTAGAATAATATCGGCAGGTGAGATGCTGTCAAGGCTTCTTGGGCGCACTGGGTGTGGAATTAGATATATTTCCATCATAAATAAATCACAATTCTTTACTTTTGTTCACAATATTATAGGCCAATGCTCCTTCATGTCAAATTCTATTCATAACTTATATTGATTTATTTTTACAAGCCAATCTAAACATCCTCACTTCTAATACTCCCATCGCGATACATTTTTGGTCTCAAAACATTTCATAAAAACCCTCAGTGCTTTTCCTACAGATGCGTTTTGTTCCTAGCATCCCATTTTCTTCTACAGACTACATTCCTCCATTATTTATTGTGTGCAAAAAACAAATTATTAAATAAGTAATGTCCTTTATGTGGGCACATACAATACATCACTTTATTGTGTCACTTCTACCTTAGACTGACGCTAGTCACTACCAATGATATTTTCTGTAATATACATTTTTCATCTTGAGTTTTAAGTACGTCTGTGCAATTTTCTTTTGAAACATACCGTAGAAGCGCGTGCCATTTGGATACATTTTCTCTCTGAAATATGTAAATCTACCGTGGCCATGAGACTGGAGTATATACAATGCTATTAATATGCCCTATGTACAACCAAAACTGAGTCTCTATCTCTGTGATTGTAATCTAGCAAACAGAAACGTTGACGTTTCTCAGTAGGTCTGTCTACCGTTTATTCCTCTTCATCCTCAAGCCCAGATCTGGAAAAATCAACAGAACACAATCAGAATCCTCCCCAGAAATGTCACTACACATTGCAAAGCTGTCGGATCAGATGATATTAATAACGGACGTCTCATACCCGAAGAGTGTGGTCCCAGGAACCTGTGCAGAAGGACGTCCCATCCGGGGAAACACGCAGCGTACTGACGCGGTTCTCATGTCCGAACAGAATAGAGACCCGTGTTCCTTTGAGAACATCCCAAACATTTATGGTGTAGTCGTTATAGCCAGCGAACAGTAGCCGCCCTGAAAGAGTAAAGAATAAACATTAATCATTTTAACTCTAATAAACAAAATAAATCATTCTAAGCTGTTTGGTCGATGTTATGAAAGATATGGCACATAAAAGAAGAACTAAATTATATTTAACAATAAGAAACACGGTTCAAAGTAGAAAACCAACAAAATAATGTAAAAAATTGAATTAATTATTATGAAGATGCCATTTATAGAAGTTACCACACTTAGCTCTTACTGAATATCTAATCTTATATAATATCACCAAACCAGTGTTTATATCTTACCACTGAGAGAGAAATCCACACTGGAGACCCCAAATATGATGCTGTCTTTGGAATAAATCGCCACTTCTCTGTCTGCCCTTAAGTCATACAGGCGGCACTGAAACAAAGGTCAATGTTTTAATGTTAATAAGATCACTTCAAATGTTTTAAAGTGCACTTTGTGTGGTAAATATCTTATACTTACTGTAGCATCATCTGAGCCAGATGCAAATGCATCCCCACTGGGATAGTATCTATTCAAAAAGAAACAGACACTTAAGACTAAATACTTCTGTTTTTATAAGATTTCAATTTAAATGACTTTTAGCGACTCCCAGTGGTGGTATGAATAATAATACTGCGTCTTAGAATGAATTAGCTAAAGCATACAATTTAAACCTAGATTGAAAAATGTTTTCTACAAACAAAAACATTGTATATCAGAGCAACTAAAAATACGTTATAAAAAATAGCTTTTTACACCTAAAAAGTACCTACCGCACACTATTTATGTCTGATTCATGAGTTTCAAAGGACTGAATGCACTGTCCTGAGCGCATGTCCCACACATTGGCTTTCTTATCACAGCCCTGCAACAACAGAAAATAAAGCAGAATATGACCAACTATTTAAAATAATTCAGAAAAGTTGAAATAGTAAGTAGCTATAAAGGGTTTTCTCACCCCTGAAACAAACGTGTTTCCAGTCTCGGAGGGGGCCAGGTCCAGACAGAGCACGTCTGCTGCGTGTCCATGGAAACTCTGCAACAGCTGACCACTCTCAACATCCCACAATGCACATGTCCCGTCCCCGCTGGACGTCAGGATCTTTAACATAAGCAGAAAATGAGGAGGAAGGAAACTGGTTACTCTGAAGATCAGTAAAAGTCTATGTGGGCTAGCAAAGTGCTATAAATGGATTGTCTTTGTCGTGTTAAACATCATGTGACCAGGACATAAAACCAGGAGCTGCTGTGAATTATTAACTAAGTGGGGGAGCTTCTTCCACTGGAATAGTGAAGGCAGTGATTTCTGATTAATTATGAGAGAAATAGGAAGGAAGAAAAGCAGCTGACATTTTAATTATCTTTCCAACTGATATTTCTATAAACATTTTAATTACTAGATGTGTTTTTGTGTTTGATGGATATTCTCACCTGCATGTCGGAGTTGGTGAAGCTGCAGGCTGACAGGTAGTTTGTGTGCATGGCCACCGACTTCTTCTTAGCAGCCAAGTTCTCATTCTTGTCCAGAGACAGAGGATACACTGAGCATTTATTATCCAGGCCCCTGCAAAAAGAAGATAACCCCATTCAAAAACAAAGGGAATCCAGACAGATGATAGTCACATTTGGATCATCACGTGTACAAAGGCACTCACCCACATGCTACAGCACAGCCGGAGGGGGCGTAGGCACAGGCCATCACCCAGGTGCAGGGCATTGTCACAGCATGCTCCTAATAAATATCAAAAGACACAGCTGCATGAGTCGCGCCGGGACAGGCAGATGAATCAGATCAATTCAATCTAATTACAGCAAAACAGGAAGCTTTGGTTACACATTATTGTTGTTATAGTTTTTCCAGAAGCAAAAATGTAACATTAAATATAATTTACTATCACTATTACAGTACATTCCAGTTTTTAATGAATTTATAATTAACTTTATTTTCAAAGCTATTTATTTACACACACATATTCGTTAATATGTGCCTGTTGTCTTTTCAGATTTGCAGTTACTGGACAAAGTCACGTTAAATTAAATGATTCTGTTGTTACATATATTTGTTAATAAAAAGAAAACATCTTTAATAAAGTAATCTAACTTTTTAAATCCCTCTTACGTCAAACTCCTCACAAAATCCATAACCTCTGATAAGGTGTCGCTAATTTAGAGTAAATAATAGTGTATTATAATGCTTAAGAGCTTTATGATATTTGCTACAACATGCTAATATTCCTATATTTACTGCATGCATACATTGTCATGAAGTTTTCTTCTTTGTATGTCATATTTTACTTCCAAAGTTTTGTTGCATAATCTTTTTTTAAATAAATAGATCAGAAAATGAAAAACAGTGGTTGACTTTGTGAAAATTATTTTCTTAAAAACCTCAACATTTTACTAAAAGGGTTCTGTAATAAAATATAGGTATGTTGAAAAATAGACATTACCTTATTGGTGGTGAAAGCATCCCAAACGATCACTTTCCCATCCTGCAAAGAGATTAGAACAAGATTGATATAAAACAAATGTACTGTAGGCCACATGCAATTCTAAGCCAGCTCTCAAACAAACTATTAGATATTGAAAATATGGACTAATCACTAAAGCATAAAAGTCAGCAGGAGCTTAAAGAGTGTTAGAGAGTGTGTTACCTGAGAGGAGCTCACGATCCTCCTCTTGTCCTTACACCAGTCCATACACAGGACTTTGTTTCCATGGCCCTTCAGAGTCCTCCGGGTCTTCATCACAAACTGACCCAGCCCATCCACCTTCTCTGCCACCTGATGTACTGTAACACACACACACACACACACACACACACACACACACACACACACACACACACACACACACACACACACACACACACACACAATGTACAGTACATTAAACATTGTTTACATCCTGGATTAATTTGTCCAGAAGCAAGAAGGATTAGGCCAACCATCAAGAGAGCAATATTTTCATCTTTGCATAATCATGTCCTCAAATAGCTCATGTGAGCATCTCATGAAGCAATAACAAGAGACTGTTTCTGTGATTATTTCCTACAGCTTATTTTCCATTATGGCAAGCTGAGACATGATTGGTCAAAAAGCACAACATAGCAGTGGGCTGTGAAATGGGGAAGCAAACAAACAGCCTTCTCAGGTCCCCTGTCAAA